CCTGCGACCAGATTTTTAATTCTTTCAAGCCCCCGCCCCTCCCCCCCCCCAATGATTTACAGACATTTGCAACATAAGTGGTTCCTGATTAATCAATTTGCCTTCCTGGTTCAGAGCAGTGATGTGTGTGGGCTTGGTGCAAACCTGTCAGTGGCATATAGTCATCCCGGCCCAATCAGTTGCGGCCGGGGCATTTCCCCTCCCACGGCTACATGTAATATGGGGGTGGGAAATGCCCCGGCTGCAACTGATGGGCCGTGTTGGGGGATAATTGGCAGTTTTGCGTACGCTTGGGTGAACTCCGGTGAGCAGTGTTTGCACCAAGCCCATGTACTGGTTCAGGGTCACTTCTATGCCTTCAGTCCCCTCATTGGACAGTGACAGCGCTCCATTACCTCTGTCCAGTGAGCTGACCCAGGAAGCAGTAATGATGAACCAGAAGGTAGCAGGTTGATCATTCCGAGTCGCAGAGGCGTGCGTATGGCGGGAATGACTGACAAGAGGAACAGATCCTTCCGTAGGTAGAACAGTAAACATATATGGATTCCCACCATGAAGCAGAGCGGATTGTATCATTTGGCTCTATTCTGTAACTTCTAATAACTGCACTACAATGTCTGTCTATAGGAGCTACTGAGGCTGCGGACTGCCGGGAGAGCATGTCATCTTACCAAAATGGAGGAGGGTAGGGGAAGCTCCTGACACGAGAGAAGGGATACATGGCAAACAGGAGAGGAAAGAAAATCTGGAAAGAAAAGTGGAGGAGAGGAGCGTCTAGAACAAAGAGTTCAAAACAAAATTCACTTTGCAAAGAAGAGAGAAAAAAAAAAAACATTTGCAGAAGCAGCAGAAAGTCTGTGCAGGCTCCTGAAGTATCATCATATAGTGGAATTACCCTTTACCTGCAGCCAGGATATCACATGGACACAGCAAGAACTGTACACTGCAATCACATTGCATATGCTACACCCGGGGTCGGCAACCTCCAGCACTCCAGCTGTGGTGAAACTGCAAAACCCATCATGCCTCTGGGAGTCAGTCTTGCAATGCCTCCAGGGAGTTTCACGACAGCTGAAGTGCCGAGGTTGCCTATACCAGAGTCACTCCAATAAAATGTATGTGTATTGTTTTTTTGGTCAATTACATTTATTTTTTAATCTCTAAAAGTTTATAACCATTTTCTAAAATGTTATTTCCTAACTAGCGTGTGCTGCAGAACCTGGACTGTAATAAGAAAGCCCAGCACTAGCTCTGCACTTGGCTGATCCTGCACACTGAAGACTCCTGTAGCAATGTGCCTCCGGGAGAGGAAGAAGAGGGGATTCCATCCTCCGAGTAAGGTGCCCATACACTGTACGATTATGTACGAGAATGGTGGGAAATCCCGCGATCGTACGATAATCGTACAGTGTATGGAAGGCGTGCAACCGGTTCTACTCTACGGTTGCACGTCTTCCATCGAACAAGCAGGCTTGAAAACCCGCCGAGAATCGTACGATTCTCGGTGGGTTAGTGGCCTACTTGTTCGACAACTGCCAAACGGGCCGGTGTGCGCACGCGCACACTGCCGTTTGCAGTGATCAGAAGGCCGCCCCAATCGCTTTCGATGATCGCAAGTACGATCTGCCTGTCCAAGATGAGCAGATCGTACGAGCTGTTAACAAGCTTACGACCATCGCAAGACAAAAGTCTTGCGATGGTCGTAAGGTGTATGGGCACCTTACCCAGAGGATGGATATTGGGACCTTTCAGATGTAATGAGGAATTCTGCAGTCATCCAGCAATGTTCAAGTTCCATGAACTCTGGCAATAGGTTCCAGGTGTAATATAATGGAAAGTGAATACAGCGGAATCGTCTCCCTCGCTGACATGCTGCAGAACCAGACTGCTGCTATCCATAAGAAAGCAGTGGTCTCTCTGCAGTGGTCCAACCCGCTCCTCAGAAAAGTAGAGACCTCCGCCCAGCAAAGCTCATGTTCCCTGCTGATAACTTATCTGGAGTGGTGCATGGGATGAGGCAGACAACAGCAAAGAGGCCGCTGCTTCCACACAGAGCACAGCGGTCCTACTTTGCAGCATGACCCCAGGGAACACGCTATGTTACTATACCTGTAGCTACTTTACCAGATAAACAGCAAGACTGGTCACCTTCTGCATGAGATATACATAAGAGTACGAGTGGACTTTAAAGCAGAACTCCGGGTAAAAAAAATGTTTAACCCTTGCAGTGATGCTACCCCTCCCCGAACTGCGAGGGTTAAGTGCTCGTTTTTGCACTGGTCAAAAATAAAGTTATGCTCAATCGATCCTCTGAGCTGGCTTGTTCTTAGACCGGTCCCTGGAGCCTCTCTCCCCCTCCAATGCAGAAGTCCAAGGTCCCCAAGTCATGACATTATACACACAGTATAGGATGTAAGGACGCTGAGGGACATACCATCACTGCAGTGGAGGAGGACACAGGCAGGAGGGAGGGAGCGCTGTCACAGCCGGCTGGCTTGGAGGTTTTGGCGAGTATAACTTTGTTATTTTTGACCCTAGGCAAAAAGGAGCCCCTAACCCTTGCAGCACAGGGGGTGACGTCACTGCAAGGGTTAATAAACATTTTACTTGGAGTTGTTCTTTAAATCGTGGATTACCAGACACGCATTACCATCCACTACCTGCAAAACTTTGTATGAAATATTTACTTACAAATATCTTTATCACATGAATAAAATGATGGATCCCGGGATGGACTACAATCTCATGTGTAGTTTACTCATTAGTATTGGGATTGTAGTCCATCACAGGAGCGAGCTTGGAGTTTATATGAAAACTGCATACAGGGCTGACATATAGACGCTTAGAAATAAGGCCCATTTAAAGTGACACCAAACCCCGGAGTTAAATATTCAAAATACATTCAAGAACCTGAACTATTATTAACAGCAATGTATCTTAATTGTGTATCACTCGGCTGTAGATCCTCCAATCCTCTCTGAATTGGTGCTGACACTGTCCTTCCTTCTGGAGGGGGGCTACTTCTGTTCTCCATGTTCTCTGTGTGTGTTATAAAGTAGTCACCGCTCCAAGCTCCCCCCCCCCCCACCCCCGCACGGACGTCCACCCTCCCCCACCCCCCCCCCCCGAGATGGACTACAATCTCACGTTTAGTTTACTCATTTGTATTGTGATTGTAGTCCCTCCCGGGAGCGAGCTTGGAGCGGTGACTACTTTACAACACACTCAGGGACCATGGGGAACACAGGTAGCCCCCTCCAGAAGGAAGGACAGTGTCTGCACCAGCTCAGAGATGAAGCCGGAAGGATTGTGTACATTGGCGTTTCCTGACATGTGAGACGAATGAACACGAGGAGAGAGCTCAGGAGGTATTACAGAGGCGATCGTAGTTAGAGTTCCGCTTTAGATAAAAGGCTCCTAAACATAAGACATGAAAATATCTGTGGATTCCCACAACAGTAAATATTCCTTTATGCGTGAAAATACAATCGGGCTTTAACAGAAATCTTTTCATCAGACCACATGTGAGCTACAAAGCAATAGCAGATATGATGCAAGAAGAACAAATAAAGGACAGCAATGACATGTACAGGTGATGACTTATGTGAGACTCGCAGTCTCCTACACAGGATAACAAGTGTTTATATCAGGGTGGTATACATTTCACATAGAACCACTGGACTACACACAGACTACTACACGATCACCGCCCCTACCTAAGAACAAAGGTTTAAATGTCATACCAATAATGACCACAAGATGGCAGAGGAGGAAAAGCTGGTTCATTACTGTTTATGAATGTTCAAGAGCACCTGTCATATAAAGTTGGACCTATAGTGAATAAGGCATATCAGCCTTCCCTAATAGACAGCAAAGCATGATCTATGAAAGTGTAGACACACCAAGAATCTGGAATATTACTGCCAATCACATGAACAATGCTTTGGGATTCCTACAGACAAGCGGTAACGTCACCGACATACAAATATCACCATTGCATTGTTGAATGTTCTGATAAAATACTTCCTCTACTAAAGCTGGCCATACAAAACGTTGCACAGTGGGTGGCCCTGTCAGCACCATTCTGTCCGGTATCGGTCGATCAGAAAATAGAAGGAGCTGGCTGGAAATGTTTATGGCAAAACAGTGATGGCAACCAATCAGCTGCTGTCACTGTTCAGGTATTCTGATATCGGCATACCCGCAGCTCTCAGAATACAACAGTACAGCGGGAGATTCATCATCCACACTGTTAAGCACAGATTGAAAAATCTGTTTTTATTGTTTTTCGTTCAGCCCGCATGTTAAAGGAAAGAAATATAACAGTGTATGTATGGCCGCTGTACAGGTACCAAGTGTTTCTGAGGTCACATGTTAGGGTGCATGTTCTCCCTCCAATCATGATAAAATTAAATGCCCGACTGTGGGGTGTGGCAGGTGAAGTGTGAAAGTGCCAGCTTCCTAGGGGAGGTCGGTATTTCCATGGACGAGCACCCTCAGGTCTTAGTGCCCCTTGAACACGCTCTGCAGATTGCACATATGTAGACACCTCTGGGTGCCCGCATGAACATTCTGGTAGCAGCTCCACCTTCTGAAATCTAAAATCTATCATTGAAATAAAAAATAGACGTGCCTTTGCTACCTCCCCTCCTCTCTCTATGCAGCAGAATTACAGGTACATAGTGAGAGATACAGAACTGAAGACAGACTGTCATTGCAATAGATAAAGAGGAGAGAAAAAGCATCCCATTGAAAGACATTATTATCTTACAGGAGAACTATGGGGGTCCTACTTTTTCCTTATTATTGCATTCCTTAGGCTAAAGGAGCAAATAGTGTAATTTACTCCTATAAGCCAAAATGCACCCTAAGCCTGTGAACCCTTCTTTAAGATGGTGGGCGGGGCTAAGTGCCGCAATGAGGAGAGATCCCGACAATGCTGCCGGGATCCTCCCCACTGATCTTAGTCACTGTGACTGACAGCGATTCTTGAGAGCTGCTGCGCGTCCGCGAATATATAGACACGCGCAGCAGCTCTCTCCTTACCTGCACGTCCCCGTCCTCGGTGCCAGCCTTCCAGACACGCTGCGCTGTAGCCCTGGATCCCCCTCCCTCCTCCATCTGTCCCGCCTACTCCAGTCTGCAGGGATCCCCAGTGACATCATTCACCATATACTGTATGTACTTGCCCATATGTGGTAAATGATGGAGAGAGGGCTCCTTCCCCTCGCTCTCCTTGCCCTGTATCACGCTGACATCCTAATCACTGGGGATCGCTGTATACAGAGGGGAAAGAGGGCTCTCTCCATCATGTACCACATATGGGCAAGTCCATACATGGTGAATGTCACTGGGTATCCCTGCAGACTGGCAAGCATCCGATCAGCAGGGATCCCCAGTGACATCATTCACCATATATGGACTTCCTCATATGTGGTAAATTATGGAGAGAGAGGGCTCTTTCCCCCCTCTCTCTCTCTCCCTGCGTCACGCCGACATCCAGATGGCTGATGAGAGGGGAAAGAGCACTGAAAGTGTAGGGAGGCTGAGTCAGCAGTTCACTTCTAACCATCTATTGCAGCTGCCTTTTCACTTGAGACTCTGCCTCCCACTCGCCAGCGTGCACGCTCTGACAAAACACAGCTGTGCACGATGAGGAATCGCGGCCACAACAATGGGAGAATGTGAAAAAAAGCTGAGGGCGGGCTGGATCCACGGTTACCGCCCCCTAAGAGGAAAGGACAATGGAGCAGGGCTGCAGGGGGCCGTTTGCTGTGGGTTTTCATGATTTTATCTGTGATGTGATGTGCTGTGACTTCAGAAAAAAGGAAGAATGCTAATACAGTAAAGGTTAGGAGTATTTTTATTTGCCCTTAGGTCATAATTCTCATTTAAGAGGTGTTAACTTTTAGACCAGATCTATAATAACATCAGCAGCTGTGCAGAAACAGTTCAGCTACCTTAGAGCTTGTGTGGCTGGGCTTGTGTCAAAAGGGAATCATAATCAGCTTGAAGCGGGTTGATGCAGCTTGGAAGGTAGTCAAGTGCAGGTCAGAAGCGGGTCCACTGCAGCTCCAATACACCCGTCACTAAATTCTGGATGATCTCAGAAGCATCTACAATGCAAATGTAAACCGCACTGGCCCAATGGCACAAGCCCTATAGATATCTGGACAGTGCGGGGATGGCTTACAAAATGGAAAATAGGAATTCCTTTATAATGCTCCTAGCATGAAAGCTAATTTCTGGAGGCACCTGAGTGCCCTACAACCACCAGACTCCTCATATTTTCCTAATGGACGTTAGACACAGAATTGATGTCTAATATAAGAGAAGCAGAAACTTCCTCTCCTACAGATTTCAGACATACATGTGGAGAATGAACTAAAGAAGGAATCATGTACTCCTGTATGAAAGAAAGCACCAAGTCTTCTGACCCAAACTTTCTACACATCAGGTTTAGTTCTACATAAATATCCCTTGTTGTCTTTGTACCACCAATGGAGACCTTTCCTCACTTTCCACCCCAGTGATGGGAGCCGAGAGACAATTTCCACAAATCCCACCACTGACTACAACTGTAACCAGAGAAGAAGAGGAGAGAAATCCCCAAAACTAAAAGTCTCTGGTGGAGTTCCACTTTAATGTATTGAGGTTTCAGATCCAAGATCTGTCTGTCCTTCTGACCTACATGTGACAATACAACACAGACAGGGAACATACAGAGACCTGTAATATAGACCATGAGAAACGATGAAGACACAATGACATAGGGAGCTCCTCCACAGCAAAGTCCCACTCACCATTTTCTCGGGGGCTTTTCGCTGTACTCGGCTCCACCTCCTGAGATTTTGGTCGGCTCAGAATTTGCTCTAGATCCATTTTTGTTCTGCTAAATGGCTCAAATTCTGACTTTGGTCGAGGTGACTCCCCATTTGGTCTAGAATATAGAAAGAGCAGAGAGAATTACTAACTGCACAGCGCAAGTATTAAATGTAGAGAGAAATGGAGGCGCCCAGCGCTGAGCTTTCCTTGTGAAAATGCAGACAAGGACATATGACTTTCTTGTTCAGGGTCAGCAATTCAAAAAGCATTAAAGCCAGAGGGTCAGGATAATAGCCAGTCAAGGAGAATTTTTCAAGAGCTCAGCGATGGCAACTTCTTTATATATCTAAAGACAAGTTTACCTGATCAGATAATATATAATAAAACACAGTAATATCTGGTTAGTAGGGTGGACAAAGGGCAGGTGTGAATGGCTCAGACCTAACCCATGTTAAACAGCCCGAGACAACAACGAGACATGTATTAACCCATTTAAAACCCTAAGGGGGCAAGGAAAGCAGTTTTTAGAGTCATTCATATATAAAGCTGCACCTCTGACGGTACTAGACTTTCAAATAATAGGTGGGTGCTGAGAGTGCCAATGTAGGATGGTCCTGCGGCAAAACCATAGGACAATTGCATCTCACAGCGTCACAGATATACCAACTTTACAGGGCCTTCAGAAAAGGGACCCTGCGAGGCCCTGAAACATATGAGTACTGATATATACCAACGGTCTGCAACGCTGTTCTTCACCGGAGTGCTGGTAACTTCTAATTCCTTGATTGCGGACATTGCTCAACATACTATCGGGAAGTTCTACAACAAGTGTCAGGACCAAATACCCTTTTAGTAAGATCAGATACCTACTCATTTGTGGGCAGCTAAACCCAGGACTCCAGTTCATCAGAGAATGCAGCAAGGGGCGGTCTGATCGGGTCTGCCTGTCAGTTTTTCAAGTGGACCCGATCGGAATCCCAATGCTAGTCCGAGATCTGTTTTGCCTGACCTGACTTTGCTGGAAAGGGAGTAATCAGATGTAAAGCAAACAGCGGGCCATTTACATCCGATTCCCCATAGACCAACATGGGATCCGGTCATTTCAGATTCTTCCTCCATTGCCAAATGAAAGAAAACAAACTAGACTGACACTGAAGTCCCAGCGGTGACATCCGATCTGCACCGCTCTGATCAGGAGGGGAGCTCTGCAACAATTCCCTCATGATCAGCCCGTGTGAAAGGGCCCTACATTTTTGTTTGAAAGCTGGAATACGTCTGCAGAGATTTATTAGATCTTTCTAGGACAAAGTTGGACAAGTGGAAGGCAGACTTCATCAGAAACTGACATTTTAGCCTTGTTAACAAGTCAAATCACATACATGTATCTCTGAGGGACTCCACTAGTGAGACCTCAAAGCCAGAATTTGCTCAACTGGTATTATAATTACAAGATAAAAAGATGTGCGCTACTCATTCATTGGCCATCTATAATGTAGAATGAACACTTATTGCTGGGAAAGAGCGACACTTCTGTTATGAGTGTTGGATAGAGGTAGAAATGCTACAAGGTAAGAAATATACAGCTCGTCACTGGAGTGAGTCATTCAAACCAACCGGCATCTATCTGAAAGGGACATATCAGCTTTGGGTTGAGCAGGCCCTTTCTACAAGATTTAGGGTTCAGTCTGTGAGAAATCATACATGGAGACATGTGACCTGAGAATATCAGAAGGTTCAGAGTCATTAGGCCTCATATGTAATTTGGGATC